GAAGCATCTATAAAGATCACTAATCAGAGGGGTAGTTTCCCTCTCATTCCCAGATGGATTTCCTTTCCTTTTCTTTTAATTAAAAAATAAATTTCTGTATATCTTCCAAAATCCAAAAATCTGACTAGTACATTTCCAGACAAGAGCCTTGGCCATGCTGAACTCATTTTTCCTAGTTCATGCATCAATTTGATGCAAATGATGTAATTTTTTCTTCAATCATTATAACCCATCTCAAGAAAAGAGACAATCCCAACAAGCTCTAGGAGATGAAGTGATCACTAGTTAAACAGATAACTGATGAAAAGGTTTTGGTAATGTCATCTCTAGCTTGACACTGCACCTGCATGCAAATGAGGAGACAAAGGGGGGAGAAGCAGAGAACAAAAATCTAAATGAAGATTCGGACACTTAGACAACATGAAAGTATTTGCATATTAATGCACAAATGATTAGGATTCAACCAAAGAAAAATAGGGAAGAAGCCAGTTAGGAGCACCCCTGATCTATTTGCAAATCAAAAAAGAAGCCTAAATTATCCTGGCACAATAGTGAAGAGACCGTAAGATCAAAAAAGGCTGACCTAATTGTTTAACATACAACTGCAACGCGACGAAAGAGAATGAAAACTATATAATACCAAAGATACTTCATCTTCCAAGACAAAGTTAGCCTAATCTATATTCTCACCAGGCATTGATCTTTTTAACAGATATTTACCATGCAACTGATGTTGAACAAATTTTCAGTATTGATTCCTTGTATGTTTTGCCAAAGCAAGGAAGTTTGCAAAAAAAAAACAAAGACTACTTAAAAAGGTTGATTTGCTCTCAAGTCATGCTATTTCAAGCTACCTTCAAGGTTCCAATACAGAATTTGAATCTGTAGGTGATCAACTTAGTACCCCAAGGCAGACAAACTTGCACTGTCCTACTTTGGAACTTGTACAAAAGATGCAGTAATAAAAAATTAAAGATTTAATTTTACTCTTAACAAAATCTGTGGCCCGTCATTGGTTGAAAGAGTCATGTTGGTCAGTCAGGGGCGAGGGTCAAGAATATGTAACTCATCACATAATTCTCAAAAACTTGCTTGATATTAAGGGAATTAAAAAGTATAGACTAAAAGAAATTGTGAAACTTGAAACATTCTATCAATGTACATCTAACAAGGGCCATACCTGAATTGCATCATTCATGGAGCCCAAAGACAAAAATTCAACAAAACCAAAACAGTATCCCTGTTGCTGCAGAAACAGAATATAAAAATATCAACAATTGAATGTAAGTGAATGAGAATATATCTATCCATTCAATGTGTCAACAAACAACCTTATTGTTTCTAACTTGGACACCCCCTTGCTTGATTGGTCCAAACTTGTTAAACTCCTGCTCAAGCTGTATAGGCGTCACATTGAAGGGCAAGTTTCGAATATATATGGAATGGCCCTCAACTGTGACTTAAATAGAATTAATACAGAGTTAGTCATACTGAAAACATTATAAAACCATTTCAGTGGACACATAAAAAGAGTAAAGAAGCAGAATATATTTTCCTATTTATTTATTTCTTTAACAGTCCATTTTTGTAAACAGAACATGTATGCACACACATGAGATACCTTCCTCAGGAATATTGTTACTCTCAGGGGCATCAATGCTGGTAGGTAAAGATGCTTCAGGTGGAGCAGTTGCTGCAGACACAGGAGACTGGTTCTCAGTTTTCTTGGCTGTCACTCTTGGGGAATTAGTTGGCACATAGACTCTAGTTGGCCCAGAACCCCCTTTTGGTACTTTCACCTACAACAGTAACTAAAAATCTTCAACAAGCAACTGGATGCAAATACAGGCAAATAGAACACATTTGTTTATAAACTCACAATTGACGCATAAGATTTCTTTGGAGTATCCTCTTGGGCTGAAGAAGAAGCTGATTCAACAACAATGGAAATATCATTACCATTTGAATGAGACTGGGATTCTGAAACAGCCTCTTTTTCATTGACCAACTGTCTCTCCTGGTCTGATGGCTCATCAACTTGCTCAGCAACATTTTTATTCTCTTCCACAAGAGCAGTTGCTGGATCCGGTGCAGAAGGATCCAGAACTTGAGTAGGCTCTGGAAACAAAAATTAAAAGGGCATTGAGAGAAATCTCAACAAATAAAAAGGTAAAGAAAAATAAGAAAACAATAAAATTTTACCAGATTCTGGTGTTGAAGGCACTCTAGGAGCATCATGAACACCATTAACTTTATGATTCTCCAAGGGTTCGCCATCTTCTACATACCTAAATACATCATTTAACACAAAATACCCATTGTCTTGTGGAGCAAGGAAAAAAGACTGTGCAAATTTTCTCTTCAAGTTATCCTTGCCCGTTTGACATCCAGTTACTAGCACAGTTACACCTTCCTTATAAGACTTCTGGGCATCAGCAGTATTAATCTCAGTCTTGTGGCTTGGGTAATCCAAGGAAAGAATCTTCTCATTAATACCCTGTTCAAAATAACATTATTGGAATTTCTTTGCACTAGATGATACTGACAGCAACTAGAAGACAAGATAATTAAACATTGTCTGTTACCGGAACCTTAAAAGGATGCTAATATCGCAGTTTCAACTTCAAAAGGGAAACTACACTTGAAGAGGGGAAGGTGGAGAGAGAGAGCGTAAGCGTGTGTGAATGACGGATTTTTCATGTTTACCAAGTTGAATACTCTAGGATGGGCAATGCTGTGAATCAGAGACAAATATTATGATGACTAGAAAATTGAGACATTTTTCTGAACATTAAGCTTGATTTTTTGAAGAAACCAAAAGAAAAGTAGTAAGTCAAGCTTCAACTAAGATACATTAACAATACTTATTGAAGGCGTGATAGCAGCAGAAACAAAAACATGTGTTAGCATATAAAGAGATAATAATTGCATAGAGCAGAAGACATTTTATTGCCAAAATAAAGAATCCCACTTCTATAAGATGGTGTTATTCTTCAGAATGGTTATACCCTAACTCACAAAAATAACCCCACAACAAATTATTGATAAAAAATCTAAGAATCAAGCACCAATGCTCAAATTTTAGCACCATCTAAATCATAGACATTGTATTATACCACCATTTAACGATGCAGTAGCTAAAAAAACACCATGAGCTGATGCGAAAGTACACTGCACATACAGAATCAAGCAAATTATAGGAACCTATAACATGCTAAAGTTTCACCAGATATGTTTAAAAGAGAGCGATCAGAAAATCGCGGAATCAACTAAAACAACAATATCGAAAAGTAATAACACAACCCAAGGTGCTTACTTGCATGGTTGTCACTGATGCCATCACACCATTGGAATCTGGCCGGCTAAGCACACTTGAATCATGATAGAATCTATGAGCCAATTCTGGTGAGTTGCAAAGAATGTGGTAATACTGCTCGACAAAAGCATGTCCAACGACTTGGGCACTTGGAGTAGCTGGGGGAGTGGCTGTTTCCAATGCCATCTGCTGGAAGAAAACACCATAAAGAATATCACCACCACAACGTATCTTAAAGCTCAAATGTAAACAAGACTGCCCCTTAGACTGCAACCTCTATGCTTAAATAATAGGCAGTTTTACACAATCAGGCAGTGTCAAACGATAGAAAATGCATGAGAACATTTAAGTAACAAGATGGAAGGAAACAAAAAGAAAAAGCAAATTAAAAAGCATTGCCATTACAAATTGCTAAAAAGAGCCCAAACACCAACAGTTTTAATTAAAACTTCAAAGTATAAGAAGAATTAATTATAAAAGGGCTTAATTTGCGTTATTTACCTCCATTCTCTAAGAATAGACTGGTACATTCTCATGGAAATCCTAAGAATTAAATGCATTAAGCCAAGTATTCATCTAAAAACAAATATCAATAAAAACAAAGCGAGATCTTTAAAGAAAAGGTAGCACATTCCTGGGATCCAACCAGCTAGTGGCTCAAAAAAAAAAAACCTAAACCCTAAAAATAATTAAAAAATTGAGAACTACCCATTGAAGAAACCGATGGCTTTTAATAAATCAACCAACACTTTAGGCAACACTTAATCTATAAACTACAACAACATAAAATACCCATAAATAAAAATCAAGTTTTGAATACAAAAAATCATTAAACTTTATAATGACTGATCAAGGAAATGACTATAAAGAAACAAAACTTTAAGGAATACCCACCAAGCAAAGACGAAAGAAAAAGGAATCTTTTTCTTTTTCTTTGAGGATTGAAAAAAGGATGGGTAAAGAGAAGAAAATAAAATGATCTGAGGAAAAAGGGAATGAAAGACCACCTGAAAATGGGAAATGTTGAAGGTTTTGAGAGAATATGAGAGTTTTTTTGAAGTGTTGAAGATGGCACAGTGGTTTTTAGTTGCAGGGTGAGAGTGGAGATGGAAGAAGAAGAAGAAGAGAAGAAGAACAGTAGGAGCACGAGAACAAGGGACAGACTGAAAGCTACCTGTGAACTGTGAAGGTATTTTTCTCTACTTGCTTTACAAAGGTTTTGGTATCAGGTTCCTTCTATACGGTTCGTGTGGTTTTTTTTTTTAAATTACTTTTAAGGGTAAGAGTAATATGTAAATAGGTAAGTGACCTACTTAAATAGAATTTAGGTACTTATAAACAGATTAGGGTATGTTATAATGAATTTTTTTATATTTTATAAAGTTTTTAATGTATATATTAATTTTAATTGATAAATTTTTTATTTAAAAGTTATTTAAATATAAAATTTATTTCAAATTTATTAATTTAATTTACAACTGCCACAATAAGGAGGTTAGTAGAACCTTCTACTTGCAATCAAAGATAATGGAGACAAATTTTATGGAAGAGAACAACATCAGATTTCCTTTACAAATTTTAGGGGAGAGAGTAAAAGGTTTGACTTTCTTTTATTGTAGAATAACATTGTGTGTTTTTGTTAGTTTTAGTATTATAAATATTATGTGTCCTACCTTTACTCTTCCTTTTCTCAGTCGTAATGTGTGAGTCCGGGAACTTGATTGCTAGATGTGGGAAATTTAGGGAGTCGCCAAGTTATTGTAACGTACAGGTCCTGAAACTCGACTACTAGACATGAAAAATTTATGGAGCCACTACCAATTTTTTTTTGTCTAGTGCAATTGGCCACCTATTAAATTTGTTTTATTTCACAAAATTTTAAATTGATTTTAGGTCCATCTAAAGAATAATGAAGTGGCCTGTGATTTTTTTAAAGTTAGGTTCAAGAGTACAGTTACGTATGAGGAAGGTTTAGCACCCTCTGATGCTCGTTCCATGAACAATACTATTTAATCATACGTTATCCTATCATAGCCCATTGATTTTATTCTTATGTTTCCCTAACTATTGTTTACTTTTTTTTTTATTTTATTAGCAAGTTAAAACATCTTATTTGGTTTTACGAGTATGACGTGTACATGATGCAATTATGAAATACATGGCATAAAAGTTGGATAATGCCAAATGAATACATTTTATTAAGTATATTTCTCAAATTCGCCCAACATACTGGTAGGATTCAGAGATATTCTCTCACCTAGAAAAATACTCGAGAAATATACCTTCTCGAGTTTAATGAGTAAATTCCATCATTGAGGTAGTCGTTCGCAAGTAAAAATAATATTTTTATAAACGCAGATCTTAATATGAGTACAAGTTTTTTATTAAGGACTTATCCGAGCCTTCCTATCATATTGGTGGGACTTAAAGGTATCATTTCACTTAGAAAACTTTTTAAAAGAATTCACATTCGTAAGCTTTCTCAAAAAGTCCCATCATCGCAGCTTTGACTCATGTCCATAATCTGTCTACATCCATGATATTTAATGATGCAATGATGATGTGTGATGTGCCCATAAATTTTAATATTTATTTCTTAACCTTCCTATAACTCTGTTGTTATTTCTTTGAAATTTGTTTTATTATTTTTCTTTGTATGCATATATATCATCAACTATATTTTTTTATGTTATTTTATTATACACTTTTTTATTTGAGCATCTATCTACTTTGCTATATAGATTTTTTTTTTACCTAAATACTATAACCTTTAAACGAAATATTTTATTTCATGATTATTATTATTTACGTATATATTTTTTTAACTCAACTTCTTCCCTATTTTTTAAATTGCCTAACCTATTTCTATTTGAATAACTATTATATTATTTTTTCTTTTTTTATATTCTTATGAATAAATTTTTTTATAGCTAAATATTTACTTTTTATATTTTAGGTATATTTATTATTATAAATTTACCATCTTCAAAAATTTTATTATTTTTTACTATTTATTTATTTATTATCCTGAAAATCTTTATTCTTCACTGTACTATATATTTTTGAAACTATAAATATACATGCCATTTATTCTCTTGTATTTATTATTATTATTATTATTATCATCATCATCATCATCATCATCATTATCTCAATATTTCTTTTTGTTTTTATGTTTTTATTTGATTAGTAATTACGTTAATGCATTTTTCACTTTACTTAGAATTATAGATTCTGAGACTCAAAATTAAAACCCTTCCATTGTACTAGTGGGGTTTTAATTGAAATCCCTTACGTAAAGAAATTCATGTGGGATTGTGACTTCATGCATTTTGGGAAGTATTCCACCCTTACCTTATTCGGATAGTATATTCTCATCCACTTTGTTATTATTTTTCTCATATTTTATTTATTGTTTTTATGTCCAATATTATATATTTTGCTATGTATATTAATAAATTTTATTAACTTTATTATTTAAAATAATTATTTGGGTTATGCTAGGTCACCAAATCAAAACCCTCCCATCATTCTAATGGAGCCTTGATCTATTTGGGATTGGTGATTCACCATTCCCAAATTGATTAATTAGTTCTATTTTAATTGATTTGTTTTTTTGTACTTTTCATCGTTTATCATTATATGTGTTTTTTTAAATATTTTCTCCTAAGTCATTATATTATATTTATTATGTTTACTAAATGCATACATTCTAAATTTTTAAATTTTCAAATGCGTCTACTTGTTTTAATATTGTTAATGCATATATATTTTTTATATCTTTTAAATCTCTAATCCTACATTCTTTCGTAATGGAAACAACTAATTATCTAAACTAAATAAAATAAAAGCAAACACATAGGCGAACCCAATAGACAACAAGCTAAAAAGAAAAAACCCATACCTACTCAGGGTCCACTAGGATCAAGCCAAAAATCATTGAAACCCACAAGAAGAAGGTGGTTCATTTTGGTCTAAGAGTCTTGCAATAACGACCCAAACGTTCTTCAACCCGTGTACAACTTCTCCACCAAGCCTAACATGTGGTGCACTACATCGAATTTTTTTCTTTTAATGCCAAAATGACGTCGTTTAGCAACCACTAACCTTACGTGTAAAAACTTCTTTTGTTCTCTCTCTATTTTTCTTCCTTCATTTCTCTCTCTACCACCATTCCCTTTGCTCTCTTTCTAAAACAAAATCACTGTCCTTTCTTAACAACCATCATCGGTCATTGTGCAACCACTAAGGGCTACCATTCAAAAGGTAATCTTACTTTCGTTGCCTTTCTCATTATTGAACGGTGTCGTTTATCCCCCTAGTGGCGCATAAAAATTACTCCCTCACTAACCTTTTTTTCCTTCCTAAAACACATTTTGACTTTTGGTTTTTCATGTTCTTTTTGTTTTTTTTTATTCTTCTTTGTGCGATTAGTAGGATAGGAAAGTTAGGACTTTTGGCTTTAGGGTTTTTTGTTAGTAGGGATTCTTAGGATTTTAAATAGGGTTTTTAGGATTTTTTGAGATCTAGTTGCTAGGGTTCATGAAATTGGCTCCTTAGGGATTTTTTTTGTGTTTTTCGTTCTACCCTAATTCGACCTTTTTATAAATAGGGGAAGAATTTAAATCCTTCTTCCCTGTTTGCTGCCATTGGCAGTGTCTTGGTGGTTACATGTTGCCAATGGTAGTGTTTTTGGTTTTGGTAGCTTGGTGCCAAAACATTGACTTTTTGAAATTGATTTTTTCTTTTAACAATTTGAAAGAAAAGGAAAAAGTGAGGTAAATCATTAAAAGAAAGAAAGCTTAGCCAAAATTGACATGTCTCGGGAGAAAGAGGTACTAATTCAACTTAGGGAAGGAGAAGGTAAATTGTCGTGGTAGTCCAGACTTAGTTGGCTACCACAGCAACTGCCTTGGCTGCCATGCCAAGTATCGCAACAAATCATGATTTTTTCTTTCTTTTTATTATTTTTTTTTCAAAATGAGGTTTTCTTTACTTTTGCTTTAATCCTGCTTTATTATGTTTTAACCCATTTAAAGTTTAATTTCCTAGTTGAATATGAAATTAAAAAGATAATGTAGTAAAAATGGGTGTTTACAATTGCCCCTTTTTAAGCATTTGTGAAAATTAAGGATAGTGCAAAGACGTAGACACCGTACTTATCCTAACAAGTCAAAGTTCTTAAACTTAATCTAGCCTTGATTTATCTAACAACAAGTTCGATTTAAAAAGTTTGGAACTCTTAGACTTAATTTAGACTCGACCTATCTCAAAATAGATTCAATTTGATATTTTGAAACTTTTAGACTTAATCTAGGCTCAACTTATCTGAAAGTAGATTCGATTTGATATTTTCAAACTCCTAGACTTAATCTAGGCTCAACCTATCTCAAAACAGATTCGATTTAAAAAGTTTGAAACTCTTAGACTTAATCTAGGCTCGACCTATCTCATAACAAGTTCGATGTAAAAAATTTTGAAACTCCTAAACTTAATCTAGGCTCAAATTATCTCAAAATAGATTCAATTTAAAAAGTTTGGAACTCCTAGACTTAATTTAGGCTCGAACTATCTCAAAACAGATTCGATTTGATATGTTGGGACTCTTAGACTTAATCTGGGCTCGACTTATCTTAAAATAGATTCAATTTGATATTTTGAAACTCATAGACTTAATTTAGGCTTAACCTATCTTGTAACAGGTTTGATTTAAAAATTTTGAAATTCTCTCATGCCAACTTAATTGGGCTTAATTATCTTGATGCTAGCTAGGTTGGGCTTAGACTCTCTTATGGTTGTTCATGAATGAAAAACTCAATCCTTTTTCACCTTAATCAAGATTTCGTAACTTCAAAACTTTAGATTAGGTGAGTTTCCACTCTTGAAGCTTGAAAAACATGCATTAATTTTAACTTTTGATTGAAAACTTTGCATTTTGGTGTTGCATGAACATGTACTTGATTAGGCATGTATGCATGATTGAATGATAGAATGCTTTCATGTTTATGATTCATTAAGGTTCCTTGACTCTTTTTACTTCCTGCTTCATCCCAAGCTTTTTGTAACATCCTTTCCTATTCTTCATTTATTCATACTCTCTTTCGGTGATTTTGGACATTTTTTAATTTCCTTTAGGCATATCTTTCTTTAACATTTGACACTTTTGTCATGTTAAGATTCCTTTCTCTTTTGCCTCACCATTAAGTTTTTTATTGAACAATGAATGTAGTTTCTCGCTTAATAAATTCGTTCCTTCACCGGACATCATTCATTTTCATGACAATCATGATGCAAAATTATGTATGGTAAAAAATGGAATTGGAATAAAGAAAAGAAAGGGAATTTCATATTTAAAAATGAAAATAATTTTAAGACAGGATGGTTTACAAAGCGATCATTAGATCTTCCAAATAAACATTACTTGGACCATTTAGAGTAATCAATTTATTCTTATGACTTTAAAAATTACCCTTCATTGATGCCTTGAATAAATTTGAAGGTTGTGGATTCTATGACTTCTCTATATTTTGAAAGGTTGATGGATTTCATTTTCAGTGCATTTATTTTCCATCTCCTTTTTGTGCCCCAGTTCAACTAGCTTTCTCAAACTTTCATCATGGATTTCTCCTTTTGGTCTCAAGTCGCCCTTTGTGGGTTTTTAACAAGAGCCACCTCCTTTGAATTTAAGTTGCCCTTTCAGGTTTTCAACATGAATCGCCTCCTCTTTTTTTTTTCTTTTTCTTTACGCATGGTATTTCTTTAGCACATCCACATTTATCGGATTAGGCAAGTCTCCTCTATCCATGTCAATAAAAATTTAAGCTCCCATTGAAATAACCTTTTTTGCCACGTGTCTATTTTCCATGAGAATCATTTTGGTTAGGGAGTGTCCTTTTGAGGATCAGTTCCCTTTCTCGAAATGCCTAGGATGAACTTTTTTCTCGTATGCTCACATCATTTTTTGTAGTACATTTGGCCATGGCATAGTGCCATGAGTCTTTTTTCCTCAATCAAATTCAACTATTTAGAACGAGAGTGAATCCACTCAACTTCTTCTAATTCTATCTCCATTAACACCTTCAATGATGGGATTTTCACGTTAATGGGTAATACTACTTCTTTGCCATATAGTAATGAATACAAGGTGGACCTCGTGAAGGTACGCATAAAAGTTTGATATGTGTGCAAAACAAAAGGAAGTTTCTTATGCTAGTTTTTATAAACTTTAGTCATCTTTTCAACAATCTTTTTGATATTCTTGTTGGTTGCCTTTACCACTTCGTTCATTTTTGGATGGTAAGTTGTCAAGTTGTGATGCTTAATCTTGAATTTAGCATAAACTTCCTTTACCATTGTACTATTTAGATTGTTTCCATTTTCGACAATGATTCTTTTCATAACTCTATGTCGACATATTATCTATTTCTTGATGAACTTGCACACCACTTTTTGTGTTACATTGGCACAGGAAGTTGCTGTTACCCATTTTGTGAAGTAATCAATGGCCACCAATATAAACTGATGTCTGTTAGAAGCTTTTGGAGTAATAAACCCAATCATATCCGTCCTCTACATTGAAAAAGGCCAAATTGTCGTGAAAACATGTAATGAAGCTAGTGGAGCGTGGATTTTATCTACAAAAATTTGACATTTATGGCATTTTCGAGAAATATTTATGGAATCCGTTTCCAATGTCAACCAATAGTATTCACCTCTCATAATTTGTCTATCCAATATATATCCATTAGTATGATCTCCACAGGTCCCCTCGTGGACTTTTTTCATTATTTTGTTGGCTTCGACAGCATCCACACATCCTAGGAGCACTTGGTCTCAACCTTTTTTGTAAAGTATCTCTCCATTGAGGAATAAACCCATTGTTAATTTTCGAAGAACCCGTTTTTCATTCTTTGTAGCATTCTCGGGATATACTTGGTTCTTGATATATTAGACAATATTATAATACCATGGTTTCCCATCAACCTCCTCATCAATATTCAGACAATGTGTAGAAACTTCTTGAATTTTCAAATTAAAAGGACATACATCGACCCATTATTTATTTTGAACATGGCTGCAAAAGTGGCTAAAGAGTTAGCAATTTGGTTCTCTTCTCAAGGTAAATGATTAGCATTGATTTTTTTGAATTATTTGCTTAATCTTGTAACCAACTTCTGATATAGAATCACCTTAGAGTATTTTGTTTCCCATTCACCTCGCATTTGACATATCACTAAAGCAAAATCTCCACAAACTTCTACTATGTTGACTTTTATGTCTATTGTCACTTGTAATCCTATTACACATGCCTAATATTCTACAATGTTATTGATACAATTGAATTTTAATCTTGCAGTGGTTGGATAATACTTCCTATCTAAAGAGATCAAGATTGCACCAATTTCATGCGTCAAAGCATTTGGTGCCCCATCAAAATAAACTTTCTAAGGGCTAGGTTCACTAAGACTTTTTTATCTATATACAATATAGACATCATATCTTCATCCCAAAAATCAAAACTCACATGCTCATAATACTCAATGGCTTGATTTGCAAGGAAATCGACAATGGTTCTTCCTTTGATAGACTTTTGGGACATATAAATAAGATCATATTTAGATAGTAAAACTTGCCATCGTGTTATTCTTTCGAACAAAGATAGTTTTCCAAAAATGTATTTGATGAGAGCTAACTTTGCTATTAACGACGTTGTATGATACATCATATATTGCCGGAGCCTTTGAGCAGTCCATGCCAGCGCATAACACATTTTTTTCAAGCAGAGTGTATTTAGACTCGCACTTAGTGAATTTCTTGTTTAAGTAATATATGGCATTTTCTTTCTTGCCTATTTCATTATGTTACCCTAGCACAGATCCCATGGAGTTCTCATTGACTGTCAAATACAAAATGAGGGGTTTTTCAGCAATTAGTGGTACCAACATTGGAGGATTTGCAAGGTATTCTTTGATTTTATTAAAGGCTGCTTGACACTCTTCATTCCACTCTTCTAGGTCATGCTTATGAAGGAATTTGAAAATCGGATCACATTTGGAAGTGAGTTGGGATATGAATCGAGCAATGTAATTTAGCCTTCCTAAGAATCCTCTCACTTCATTTTACATTTGAGGAAGAGGTAACCCTTGGATAGGTCGTATTTTGTCTAGGTTTACTTTGATTCCTTTTTTGCTTACTATGAATCCTAGCAATTTCCTATAAGTAGTGCTGAAAGTGCACTTTGCAGGGTTTACTTTGAGTTAAAATTTTTGTAACCTCTTGAATAACTTTTTGAGATTAACGGTATGATCCTTTTCCCTGCTAGATTTTGTACTTATGTCAACCACTTATAACTCTATTTCTTTATGCATAATTTCATATAACAAGGTTATTGTGGCTTTTTGGTAAAGAACATTAGCATTTTTCAATCCAAATGGCATAACTTTGTAACAAAATGTTCCCCATACAGTTACGAATGTTGTTTTTTCCATATCTTTAGGTCCCATCTGAAACTAATTATATCCGAAGAAACAATCCATGAATGAAAATAAAGAGTGCTTTGCTATATTGTCCACAAGAATGTCAATATGTGGTAAAAAGAAGTTATTCTTTGGACTTGCTCGATTTAAATCCCTATAATCTACACACATTCAAACCTTTCCATCTTTTTTGAGAATCAAGACTATGTTGGCCACCCATTCAGGATAATTGGCCATTTCTAAGAACCTAGCATCAAATTGTTTCTTCACCTTTTCTTTAACTTTTAGCAACATATCCAACTTCATCTATCTTAATTTCTATTTAACTGGCTTGCATTTTGGCTTCAAGGGTAATATGTGGACAACGAAGTCGGTATTAAGACTTGGCATATCTTGGAATGACCAAGTAAATACATCCACATATTCACGGAGTAACTTTTTCAACTTTTTTCGTTCACCATGTGACAACAAAATATAGATTTTAACTTTTTTTTAGTCTCTTTATTCCCCAAGTTAATAAATTTTGTGGGTTCTTGGTGGGGTAAAATACCTCTTTCCGCTTGTTCCAACAATCTTGACAAATTAAAAGGTAAATTATAGTCATTCGCTTCTTTTTCAATTTTTAATTCATCAATGCTTGAGTTTTTTTTGAAATCAAAATTCAAATTACTCTCTAAATTGTCTTCGTGTTCTTTATTTAGAGACTTGGGAATAAGTGAAATTAGATACATATCATATTGGCAAGCATTTATTGGTTAAAGAAACATATGGGAAGAGAATATGTGCAAAAAAAGGTGATAATTAACAAATAAGAAGAACGCATCATGCTTGTCATTTATTTGAATGATTAAAGTAATAGAAATCCCATATTAAATAAGAAACTACTTCTAATGCCTTTGGGCATAGGTGTTTAAGTAAGATCGTTCATTACATTTTGCAAGACTCAAAGATGGTAGGCAACTTAGTGACAGTCCAATTGGTTATCTCTTCTCTTGGCAACATCAGATAAACCAAGAAAGCCTTCACTTTAGGATCTTCATCCTTGATCATTTGAATCGACAATTCCTCTAATGCTTCTTTTAAAGCCCCAATATCCTTTTTTGGTGCTTTGGGATGAATGTATCCTACAGAGCGAAAGGTTTCATACAAATATGGGATTGCCTTTTTCTCAAATTTTTCCTCTTTCCCCTTGAACTAAGCCTTTCTTTTCATTTTTTTTTAGATTGCTAGCTTTCTTTTTCGTCTCTAGTAGGCATATACCCCAAACCAATTTTTTTCTCATTCTTGATTGAAATAAAGTCCTCTTAATCCTTAAAGATTCTTTCCTAGCCCAAAGCTTAAATAGCAACCTTTGCCCACTATTTGCTTAATTTCCATGTTAGTTGCCCTTGACAAGTGTGGGGTTGGTATTGATGCTCCTTCTCCCACATAAATGGCATTAATAAAGTCAAAAGATCTGAAAAAGCATTCAAAAACTTCTTCTATCGCCTTAATATAGGGAGCAGACGAGAATTGAATGGCTACTATATCCTTTTCTGTAGAGATGCTTACTAATTGGCCTTCAATTATGAATTTAACCTTTTGATGGAAGGAAGAAGGAGTAGCTCCTGCCATATTATGGACCCATGGGTACCCTAGTAAGCAATTATAGGATGAGGCAATGTCCATGACTTGGAATTGGATATCAAAGATGCAAAGGTTATTTTTTATCGATACTTCAATATCGTTTACCACTTCTCGTTTGGTCCCATCAAAAACTCTTACAATCATGTGATTGGCCCACATATAAGACATATCAACTGGCAACCTAGTTAAGGTAGAACGAGGCATGACATTCAGTGCCAAACTATTGTGGATATCTAGTGTATTTTGATTAATTGCTCTATTATACCGTATTCACTATGCTTAATGAATTTAAAAAACTCATCTGCCTCTTTTTTTTTTGACAAGATTTTTGACTTCATTGTCTTGAGTAACTATGGGTCCACTAGTTTGATATTTGAGAAGAGCCTTTACCATTTTTAGATCCTATTCTCCTTGTTTAGCTTTTCCTTTTTCAACCTTTTCTACTTTGTTGGGAAAGTAACATTGCCCATTTCGAGTTATACCTCCCATGTCAGTCAAATTTGTAGAAATTACTCAAAGGGCAAGGGAAGTTGTGCTAAGAGTGTTACATTCATAATTCTAGGGAACTATCTTATCCCATTTCTATATGAATGGACTAGAAATTTCAATGGTGATTCTTGTTTCAAAAACATTAGGGAGTTTGTTGTCCGTAGGACTCTTTTCTTCTTCATAGAAGATAGTTAGAGGTTTATGTTTCCTTATGTCAAATGAACTTGATGTCATTTCAGATGGAGAATCTTCATTTATTGCTGCAACCGTTTCCTTTTCACCTTCTATGTAAAATTCAATTACTGCCAAATCCATTTATTTTTGCAGCTTGCGATGAAAGTCATCACAATTTTGGATAGCATGTCTAGTGGTGCCTATATGAAATTTGCAAGAAAGATTGGGATTGTGCCCTTATTCTTTGGTGTTTATTAGTTTTGGAGTGATGGTGTTGATTTCGAGCAAAGCATCTAACACTCTATCCATGGGTGTTTGCACTTCATGAACAATTTTTTTCACTTTCCATGTCATTCCTTCACGTACGGCATTTATTGCCATTCTCACGTGGTCAGGTAAAGGATTCCCTTCAACATTTGAATTTTCCTTTTTAGCAAAATTTATGAGTTCTGTCTTGATAAGTGCTTAAACCTTATGTTTTAGTGTGGTACAATTCTTCGTGGAATGTTCTTGAATTCCAAAATGATAATCGTAATGTGCATTTGCATCATGTGATTTTGAAAAAGGAGGTCAGAGTGGTTCCAAGGGGGTTCAAGCAAGAAGTCAATTTTCTATGAGTTATGGTGATAAGATAGTGTTGGAAATTGGGATAGGATCAAATTAAGGTTTCTCTTAGGTGGTTTTGGGTCTTCTCTGACCATTACCAGAGTTGTTGGTTGAGGCTACAGGTCTTGGTGTAGAAGGTTGTCAAAGAACGTTGGCTTGAAATGTTGACTGTGGAGCAGGTTAATAAATATATGGATTTTGGGCAATATTGCCTATATTAGGATAGAGAGGTTGATATGAAGGGTAAGGATGGCATGGATTGAAATTAGGTGTCTGCTGACTGGTGTAGGCAACTACTTGTATGTCCCTTTCCTTTTTCTTAGATGTATTCCCTTTTTTAAGCTGGTAGCTTTATTCCTTTTGATTTTGCCATGTTTGATAGCCCTTTTCTATTATATCACTGGATAAGATTAAATCTACGAAATGGTTATGATGTTGCCGATCAATCGTTCATAAAAAGGAGCCTTAAGTGTATTTATGAACAACACAGTCATTTCCTTATTAAGTGAAAGGTGGTTGGA